TGAGGCATGCCACTTAGATGCATTAAACTTCACAGGTACGCCCGGCTCATAAACTAAGTTGTGTCCCTTAACTACGAGACCGGGCTTCACCTCCTTGCTTATCTCTTCTGACTCTTGCATCTTAGCTTCCAGCCCCTCGCTTTGCACCCACAAGCCTCCTCCACTAGTCACAACCGGAACAACGATATTTGGCAGCCCTTTTTGGTTATGGCTATCCCTATGGGCGCTGTGCTCAGCGTTCCAGACCAGGCCAACCGCACCAAAGGGCTCCGAGGTGACATTTTGGAGAAACTGTGCTAAGTACGCTGTGACCCACGGGTGGTCCGTGGTGTTGCTTCTTATCCCCGTTATTCCTCCGTAGGAGAAGCTTCCTGAAAAGAACAGGGCCCCCTTTTCTTTAAGCTGCACCGGTGCCGGAAGACTTCCTTGTCCGCTGCTGGACACTTTGCTTAGGGCTAAGGCAACTTTGGCTACCGCCGGCGGGGAGAAGTCTGTTTGCTCCAGGAGACGCTGTGCTAGCTTGTCGGCGTCGTGCCCTTGCTTGCCAAACACAACCTCACTGTCAAGATGACGAATTGCCGTCTTGCCACGCACTCTACGTTCGGGAGCCGACGGGTCGATTGGCGCCCCCTCGTATTTTATTAGGAGCTTTTCGCTGTCCTCTGGGGATGGGAAGACCTTGCTGGTAGTCAAGAAGTTTCCATCAGACGTGACTACAACCCACCCTCGATCACTATCTGCGGCAGGCCCTTTGGTTAAGGCCCCTACAGTGACGGAGTGCCATGCGCCTCGTCTCCAAGATCTCTGTACTACCTGCACTTGGGTGTTATAGGGGACAATCGGCTTTAGCTTCATATGCAGTGCCTTTCGCGCTATGTTTTGCAATACGGTCGCGCTCAAACGGGCTGCCATGGGCCACTCTTCTGGAGGAGCACCTCCTTGCTCAAGAAACACGCGTGTTTTTGACTTGACCCGGCCTATCAAGCTTTCAACTCTGCCGTTGGATTGGTGTTCTTCAGCAAACGCCAGCGTCTTGAC